AAAACAGGATCAAGAACAACATGTGTGTTAAAAAAATAATAATATGTGAAAGTACCAGAATAGTCAATAACAGCAGTAAAGAAAACAAATCTTAAATAGGCAGCTAAATTCCCCCCCTCCCCCCAATGTACACACAGCGCTGATATGCGATAAATCTAGAAATGGGAAATGATTACACCCCGCCCAGCTTCCGGATACAGGAAGTATGGGAGCATTTGGGCGAGTACTCATCCAAATACTTGGTATCGGCACTGATGCTAGTATCGGTGCATCCCTGATAGATATATATATATATACGCACACATACAGGGGCGCTTTGTGAACCCCGAAACGCATCGGCTTTCTTATCTCATTCATCTTTCATTAAATAAAAAAACTACCCTGGACTCCGCCTACATTGGCATGGTGCCATCTACCGCAGCCGTGGACAACTCCGGCCCCCCAGCTGTGCTTTAACTACACATCCCAACATGCCACTACCTCTGGGAGTCATGCCTGTGACGGTCAGTCTTGCAATGCCTCATGGGACTTGTAGTTCCACAACAGCCGATGGGCCGGAGATGCCCCCTCCCTGGTCTGCTGGATTTCCCTCAGCAGCACCTCTTTCGTTTCCTTTGCTGTACTGGAGCAGCCGCATCTAAACAATTCAGCTTACGGGGTAAGTAAACGTTAAAACAAAGTGCAGTAATACCTTAGGCCCCTTGAAGGCGACGTCACCGCTCCCTTCCGCATACTTCCCCAGTGCCGACGGCCTCGGTTGTTCATATCCTGCAGCGGCAGTCTCCGTCTCCTGGCTGCGCCTGAGGGCATCCCTATTGTCTACCTCCGTCTCCTGGAGAGATGGGCCCCATGGAAGTTAATGGAGGTGTACCGTGCAGGTGCGGCCAGTAGGAGGAGATGTTCCCTTGCAGGATGTAAACCAGTCAGAACTCAGTAAGTATTAAAGGAGAACTATGAGGGGGGGAGGGGTGCTTTCCACTCCTCATAGTTTGAGCCGACCTGTGACAATGAGACTGTCACAGGTCGGCTCAATAGATCGGGAACACATACCGGCGTTCGCTCACTTCTCGATCATCTCCCTGCAGAGAGCCGTGACTGTCAGTCATCACCCCCTGCAGGGATTCCCCCCTCCCATCCTCCAGCACTGACTGGCGGAACGGACCGGGGAGGGGGCGGGCTCTGCCTCTAGATAGGCAGAGCCACCTGTCAATCACGCAGCTGGGTGGATCTCCACAGTAATGTCGGGGATCCGTCCCGGTTGCGGCGGTCTCAGTATACTGAGCTTTGGGTGACGGGGGGACGCTAGTTTGTGACCCTTAGGAGAACTCGGGGGAAAAACACTGACCCCATAGTTCTCCTTTAATCTGTGCGCAGGGAGGGAGCGGTGAGTTCCCCTTTAAAGGGCTTAAAGGAGAAGTACATTTGGTTTCAGAGTCCACTGACCCTCGAATGAATGAGGCGGTTGTATAGAATATTGGACAT